AAACCAAACGGGGAATAGATTCATTGACTATACTGCCAAATACTTATAGCTCAATTAATAAGCTAAGGCTGACAATAAATCAAAATAAAAAGGTTTACCTGGTGGATATTCATGACAGGATTGGCTATCATCAGAACCATATGTTTGAAGCAGTGAGAGCCCAGAGGTATGCAAATTTAATCCAGAGGGCTGGCCTTTCTGGGCAGCATCCTCACTCTCATTAATTTCTGAACTTTTACTCCAACGCAATGAACGTCGTGATTTGGGAGGAGTATCTGTGCTATGCTGCATTTAAAGACGGACAAAGTCAAATTTATTAGGGACTGGTACGTTATGAAGATTAAAATGCTTGCATTTCACGAGACTCACCTCAAGTAATAACCTTTTTTGATGGCGGAGATGTCAGACCTAGAAAAACGAAACAAAATAATTAAATACATCCAGCAGGTTTTTGAAGTTTCAGTGACATATAAAATGGAAAATATAAGCACTAAATAAACTTACTGTTGTCTGCTATGTTCTCAATATTTACTAAAACTTTCCTTGGAGTGACGCAGGTGACAACTGATTTGGCATTAGAGGGAGTGCATTGTCGATTCTCAACATTTTCCTCATCTTAAACAAGAGAAAACATGTAAGTTTAAACTACAGTATTAATCGATTCGAATAAAACCATGGCGACAGGTGGATGAAATGAACATTACCTAGTTTCGTAGCAAATTTCTTGTATCCAGGCTCGTCATCATTTATGGGGCAGGGACTCTCTGCAATGTTATTCCTGTCCAAGATATCTGAAATGAAAAAACAAACAGCTTGATTGATTGTGATTAAAATAAAAACACATTGGTTAAAGGAGCTGATTAGAAAAAAATGAAAAAAGCTAGGTAAGGAAATAAGACTAAGTACGTTTTATCTTGAAATCTCAATGAACATTCGCCACGAAGATCGAGCAGTAAACAAAGAGTAAACGACAACAGAAAAAACAGAAATCTTACAATTGAAACAGAGTATTGTGTCCAAATTTTAATGATAAATGGCCGGGAGGTGACACACACTATCGATACATTTTGAGCTTACCATTATTCCATTCGTTTTGTCCATGTATGCCTGTCGCCCCATTTCAGCGAGCTTACGGGAGCGTGCTGGTGTCTGAAACTTTCGCTTTCCTGTCATTTTTATATATTACACACCTAACCGAAAAATGCCAGCCGGCCAGCCTCGAGACGCTGAGACGCCACTTAGCCTCACTCGACGCACTCCTTGTACTGCTGCCGCTCCGCGAGGAGCGCCTGAGTCGGTGGCGTAGGTACATGCGTCGTTGTTCACGCGTCGTGACCCGAGCGGCTCGCACATCCGCCTATGTTGCGGGCCGCGATACCACTGTCGTGTAGATCCGTCGCTTTGTTTTTCATCAATTTGAAGGCTTTACAATTTTTGTTCGATTTTTTGGTGACTATAGCTAGAAAGTATGGGTCTTAATTGATAGTGTAGCGTCAAAATCTCAAAATCGCCAAAATGTTGGTTACGGCGTTTTTGAGCGACCGCTTTCTGATCCGTCGTTGTTCAGCGACCGCTTTCTGATCCGTCGTTGTTCAGCGACTGCTTTCTGATCCGTCGTTGTTCAGCGATCCGCCTTTATTGCACGGATGCGTCGATCTCAATTTGATTGAGAATGGGGAAATAAGTTGCAATGCGAGTTTGCCCTGATGTCTGTTTTCCTAATGCATTTCTTCTACGTTGAAGCCTGCTGTTCTGGTCAAGGGATTTATTACATTTTAGTGGTACAGTAACAGGGGGATAAGATGGACTGGAATCCTCTCCACTTCTCCCCAAACTTAAAAATTTAGCTAGTAAAGCTGAAGCCACACCATCATTTGTTTTGAAAAGACTGATTGGCCAAATGAAAGATACGGTTTCAGCTTTACTAACTTCACCAAGACTAAATCCATCAGTGCTACACAAGTTCACACATGCCTAGCAAAACCATTCACAAGCCCACATGAACTAAGATCATTCATGAAAATAAATTGAATGACAAGCTTTGATTAAACCTTGATGTTAAATAGCAGAATAGGACCAAACAGGTTTTACACAACCTTATACTGCTATACAAATTGGTGAAAAGTCACTAGCACACTATCAAAAATTGAGCAGAATATTCAACAAACCCAGCTAACACATATCAAATTGGTAATTAAAAACAATGAACTTGGTGTTGGACTCAAAGTGTGGCCATGTGGTCGTGAGCAAGGTTAGACATACCGAAGCACATGTCATTTACATGACGAACTACACTGATAACAAAGCTGTAACGAAGTACAGTTTGCCTACAGTCCGTCCTGTATATTAAATGTACGGCCCGGAATGTAAAGATATTGACAGTACTTTACTGAAATTACGGTACCTCCTGTACGGAGTGGACCGTAATCAAAGTAGTAACAAATTGACAGAGCTCACTGTAGAATTTACTGTAGGTTTTTTTAACAGTGCGGGTACTTACGATTGTGGATTTGGAGAACGGAGCACGATGAATGAATGGCAAGTGCTAACCAACACGACAGCTTGGACGAAGACGACAGTACTTGACAGCCGGTAGACTCGCAATAACAATATTGTGCTCTTCGCGCTCCGTCCCTGACTTTAACCAATAGTTTGGCTATGAAACTCACATTCATTCATGCATGCGGCCTAGGTATCGTTGTTCTTTTGTTTTGAACAAAAGAACAATGACATCACTGGCCGCAGGACGCACGCGACATTTCATAACCACAAGATAAATAAACTAGTCGTCTGTCGTATCAGTGATTGACAAGTTCAAAAACTAATGTTACATTGTTAATAATTACCTGTCAAACTAATAATTACTTGGATTTACTTTTATAAAATATATCCCAAAAGGATTTCCTTGCTGTTAACTGTTTATGATTGTTAATTTGATGTAGCCTAGTAATGGGAAAACCTTTTAAGGCAAGGCCACACAATGTCTTGCACCTAGAAAGTGCAACATATGTGAGGCCAATCGAGAACTCCCTGTCACCAATATCTGTATGAACCTAATTTTTTTTCCAAAATTAATTTTTATTTTTTATTTACATATTTTGCATACAATATATTACATTACTTACATTGTTCAAAGTTATTCCTTGTGATTTATGAATTGTTATGGCGAAAGCCAAAGTCAATGGAAACTGTGTTCTAGTACAACTAATGCCATCTTTTGATTGGCAGGACGACGTAACAGGTGGAATAGGAACTACTTGTGTTTCATTATCTAAAAATGGTCCTTTGTAACCTTCAAATTTACAAATGATTGAATAGGGCTGGTGTTCTGGTGCATTTTCA